AGTAGGATTAAGATGTTTATTTTTCTACTTTAAAAGTTATTTTAATGGTTTTCATAAAGCTGAAAAAAGAAAATCTGAATGCTTTCTGACCCATTTCTCCATCAATCTGCCTTATTAGTCTTCAAAGAGTGCTCCTAAAATGCTCTCTGCAGAGCAGGCTGACAGCAATCTGTCAGAACTTTGGTGAGATCAGTTTTAGTTCAATCTTACTGCATCAATTTAAATATTCTCTGTTATGAACAATAGATTGTTCTGAGTATAAAATAGATCAGCAATGCTGGCTCAGTCAGTAGAGTATGAGACCCTTGATCTCGGGGTTGTGAGTTTGAGCCCCATGTTAGGAGTAGAGGTTACTTAAAAAATAAAAAAAAAAATTTAAAAATATATCAGAAGAGTAAGTATAAAAATGTGCAACATGTATAGAAAAGGCTCGAGAGGATATTTAAGTTTGAAATGTGAGGCATCTGTGACATAATGGGAATAACTTAATCAAGGCTGTGGCAAGAAATGACCGTTTAAACCAGGAAAGAAAACTGCCAGTTTCAGCAAGAAGATAACACTACTACTAATTTTACCAAACAGCAAATATCTCCAGAATTAGCGTGTTAGTGAGTACAGTCACAATTGTTTAGGCTCTCAGAATTCTTGGCTGAAAACAAAGGTAATGGCCTTACCTCTTTCGTGATGATGGGTGTGGTATCTCATTGAGTGCATAGGCCTAAAAGGGATTTTGATCCTCATACACATTTCTTTTTGGTTTTTGATAGAGTCCAAATAGTTGATCCATAGGAACTTCTGTTTCGACCTGTATTTCCAAGGGCCCTGAACCACCAGAACCCTCTTTGTCAGCTATGCCAATAAAAATGTCTTATTCCTTCATCTTGGATTCCCCAACTTCTCTGTCTCTGCTCATTCTCATCTCTATTATGTCAGGCTTCGGGACCTTGAGCTCTTGTCTCTTATCCTGAGGGAATGTTGTTTGCCTTCAGTTTCAGTGCTGGAGAATTCATCCTCTGTCCTTTCCCCTGCCTTCTTCTTGTCCGTTTCCTCCTCAGAGAATGGGGTAAGTAGTAGGCAGCGGAGAAGACTGTGACATACTCCCTACATGTTACTGTTATCTTATCACAGCTATTTAAAAGTCTCCTTACATACTTCACATGTGTCAAGACTAGAATTCATAGGAGCCATATGAATCGTCCAACCAATGTACCGAGTGGACCATTCGTTCAAGGCTTATTGCGCATAGTTATAAAGCTACTTAGTTAATTTGTCCTGATCCAATTTCCTCACCACCTTCTTATCCTGAACTTCTTGTGAATTTCCTGACAATATCATTTGTAATAGTTTCTTTTCTTTTTAAGTGTCTATTTTGAGAGAGAGAGAGAGCGAGAGAGAGAGAGAGAGAGAGAGAGAGAGAGAGAGAGAAGCGGGGGAGGGGCAGAGAGAGGGAGAGAGAGATTCCCAAGCAGGTTCCCTGCTGTCAGCACAGAGCCGCACACAGGGCTCAATCTCTCAACCATGAGATCGTGACCTGAGATGAAATCAAGAGTCAGACACTTCACCAACCAAGCCACCAGGCACCCCTGTAATAGTTCTTTTTAATGCACACAGATCAGTTCTTTTTAGTTTTTGCCCAAATTTCCTAGTTGATTGGAAACTTTTATTTTTTATTTATTTATTTTTGAGAAACAGAGTGAGACAAAGCATAAGCGGAGGAGGGGCAGAGAGAGAAGGAGACACAGAATCCGAAGCAGGCTCCAGGCTCTGAGCAAGCGGTCAGCACAGAGCCCGATGCCGGGCTCGAACCCATGAACTGTGAGATCATGACCTGAGCCGAAGTCGGACGCTCAACCAACTGAGCCACCCAGGCACCCCTGGTTGGAACTTTTTATGAGATTCTGTCTGCTATTTGTCGTGCCGCTCCCCAGCCCACACATCCCTCACCTTTTTACATCCTCATTGCTTCAGAAAGGAGCAGATTCACAGCTGGCTTCATTCCTGAATTCTGAAAAAGACACCACGTACTTCAGAAGAGCAGAAACTTTTTTTTTTTTAAGTTTTTTATTTATTTATTTTGAGAGAGAGAGAGCATAAGCAGGGGAGGGGCAGAGAGAGAGACAGAATCCAAGCAGGCTCCACGCTGTCAACACAGAGCCCGACACAGGGCTCGAACCCATGAACTGTGAGATCGTGACCTGAGTCGAAACCAAGAGTCAGATGCTTAACCAACTGAGCCACCCAGGTGCCCCCAGAAAAGCAGAAACCCTTTACAACCCTCTAGGATTGGGAAGAGGTAACCAGAGGAAAGAGAAAATCCTTACACGGAGAGCTACCTGATACACATGCAAATCTATCCTGGGAACATCTAGGCCAAAAAGGCATCTTCCCCGTCATCGAAACTGCAAAGTTTGCATGTGACCCAGAGTCCCATCCTTGTCTACTTCTAGAAAGGGATCTTGATTTGAAACCAACTGAGAGCTCACACTGACCCACTAGCAAGAAAAAGGGTGGCAGGGGTGCCCAAAGATGGGAGGAGCTCCTGTGCCCAGCCCCAGAGGCCTCAAGGGCTCAGGGGCCCACTCAGATTGTGCCAGAGAGCAAGAGAGAGGAACTGGGGTGAGCAAGCGTTGTGGCTTTGTCTGTTTCCTGTTTCAGCAAGGCTGCTGTGCAGAAAGAAAGACAGTACGAAGAAGGAAAATGCTAAGGGGGCCCAGGGCCATGGACTGACAGCTTGCACTTGACCCAGCTGCTGCCTTGCCCCATCTGAGACCACAGCCAAGATCTGCCCAGCAGCTGGAATGCTTTCCTGAGCTGCTTGGTTTGGAGCCTGGGACCCAAGGTAACTGAGAAGGAGGATGCTTTTGTGTCCAGGTTGGGGACCTCCAACTCTGGGGTGGGGAAGAAGGTGATCTGTCATTGAAGCTTCCCTCGGCTGAAGGGGGAGACGCAGAAGCAGATGGATTAGTTGAAGAGTGTTGGGGGGGTTGGGTAAGCAAGAAAGCATCCTGCACTGGCTCCCGAGGGCACAAGCCACACTACAAGGGTACGGCTTTTGTCGCTCCTCTGCTCCATCCATTAGATTAGATTAGGAGTGAGTCAAATGACTTAGGGTCCAGGCTGCCCAGTGATGGGCATGAATTAAATGAACTTTTACAGTTCCCTTCAAAGCAGGAGTCCCCCCCAGACAACAAGCTGCCATTAGAGCACGTAGGTGCAGGCCCTTGCCTTCTCACCTCGCATTAGGATCTCTGCACTAGGGCGGTCAGACCCGGGCAGGAAGCCATTCATTGCACACACAAGCAGGAAGTAGGAGCAGAGACTTGGAAAGGCAGCAACAAACCCCTGTCAGGTGAGGGCACCACCCTGACCTCTCCCTGAGGCAGGATGCCCTCAGCCATACCACCTCCTCCCCAAGCTCCAATGGGACTTGTCATACTGCCAAGGGACACCCCACAGATGCCAGAAAGCCTGGGCAGTGGCCCAGTGACCTTTCTTTGAACCACACAGGGACCAGTTCCCTTTTCTTCTACAGCCTATCCCTGTCAGTCAGCCGTCCCACATGGCTTCTTGTGTTTAAGCAAATCGGAATAGTCAAAACATCCCAGAAAGCTGGATATGATTCCATTCAGCTGTGCGCACCTAATCCTCCCGGGTGTAAGGGCCTGGGGGTCTGGGAATGCTCCCTTCTCTAAGGAGCCATTTCTACTGCAACTCCCTGCTGGAGTAACGGATCCCAGCATCTGCCCCTCAGGAAGCAGAGTGAGGCAGCCGTATTTTTAAGCGAAGTGGCCCACTGGTGTGGACCGCCTGGGGGAAGACCTTACCTCAGGCTCCGTCTCCTCCCCCGCAGCCCTTTCCTCCTCATGGCAGGAAGGTGGGAGGATTCTCCATAATCACAGGCTTTGCCTCCTCTACAAAGCCTGTGGATTACAGGGAGGGGACCTAGCGGCCCACGTTTTAATGGCGGGATGCAGGCACGCTGGACACCGATTCTTTACCCCGCCTCTTCTTTGCCTTTCTGCTGGGCCTAATTGCGATGGCACTTGTGTCCAGACCACAGAGAAGCCCTTTTGCCTTGTAGCCCACACGCAGAGGTCAGAGGAACCAGAGCAGTAAATATGATTTCAACCCGAAGCCAGCATCCCCTCCATGTGGTAAACAGCACTCCTTCAAAGAGAAGAGGGTGGGAGACGGAAGGATGAGGCATTCTCTTGGTCCTGCAGTGCTAGTCTAGCTGGAGGCGTTGGTCTTACAGCACTGAGTCTTTAATAGCTAAGATCAGCAAGAAAGGGGTAATAATCATCCCACTTTAGTATTGTAAAAAGCTAACATTTATTGTGCGTTATGTGCCAGATGCTTGATGTGCATTTTCTCTTTAATTCTTATCACCTTACAAGGGAGGCTGTGGCCCCGTTTTATAAATGAAAAGACTAAGACTTAGAGATGTGTAATAGTTTGTCCAAAAGCACAGGGGTAGTGGGTGACAGAGCCAGGATATGAATCCACACGGCCTGAGTCCAGAGCCAGGGTTCTCTGCCTCCCTCATCAAAGGCAGAATACCTTCCTATACCACAGGCATAGATTCTGGACATGGAGTTCACCTGTACATAATCCATTCAGTCATGTATAACTTAAAATGAGTGAGCCTTTTGGATACTGTTCTAAGGTTTTAGATAACAGAAGAAGCAGGTGGGAAGTCAGGGAACACCTACAGAGTAGGAACGAGAAGAAAAGCCTAAAGAGAAAAGCCACCCAGGGGTGGGACGAGAGAACAAGCACTAACAGCCTCACAGTCCTGCCTAGGGTCTGCAACTGCCCACAGCCGGAGGATGCCCCTCCAAGCCTGGAGAGTCAGGCATTTGACAGCATGCCAGGTTTGACCTTGTAAGACCACTCTCCTGGAGTGAGACCGCCCCACCCATGAATGACCCCAGGGAACAAGTGGTATGATCCTGGAAAGAGCAAGGATCCTGCAGAGAATTCTGGACTGAGCCAGATGGGCAGGAAAGTTCCAATAAAAGGACAGAGAGTCTGCTACCTGTTGAGTCTGTTTGGCCTATAAATAAAATCAAGGGGCCAGAGCTGGTAACTGCCTGCTGGTCGATGAAGCTGAGATGCCCTCTCTGACCTCTCCAGGAACTGGGTTCTCGGGTTGTGGGTAGTGAAGTTGCAGGACACAGAGGAGAAGCTGCAGAAGGAGTCCCTCTTCCTTCATCAACCACTGGGCTGACTCCAGCGATCAGTGGAGGCAGGGTGCAGAATTTCCAGCTCTCAGGACCAGCTCAGCCAAGTCCAGCCCCAACTCAGCCAAGTTACCAGAGACGATTCTAGGAAAATAAACTAATTTGCAGAAGGTAGGTGAGGGAGGGTAGGAAAGAGAGAAAAGGGCACAGAGAAGGAAGAAGGAGTTAGAGTTGGGGGTTCTGTGAATAGCAGGTAGGACCATGTAAAGGGGCAACAAGTGTGGCTTCTTCACCAAGCCTGGTTCCCTGCGGACTTGTCGACACTGTTTGCCTTTGTTTCATTTTTGTTTGTAATAGCCTCATTGAGGTGTAATTCGTGTAGTTGCTAGTTTTGATGGCACAATCTCTGTTTGGGCCAAGGAGAGCTGACCTGGCGGCATACTTAGCCCTAACAGAGAGGAGATTCTAAAACATGGCACCTTCAGCTTGGAGGGCTATTGAGCTGGAAGCTCTGAAATGGGTTTCGGTCAACACTGGACAGAGGGCAGGTACTCAGCTGATACTGGTTTGAGTTGATCTGTTCCTGAGGGTCAGAGCCCAGTCCTGGGCCAGAAGTGGATGTCAGTGGACCAATGTCAGTACTTCATGACTGGAGAAATTAGGGTGAGCTTTCCCTCCTCAACCATGCCCAGGACCAGGCTCAGAAGCCAGTCATTAAGGGCCAGCAGTGGGTGCTGGTCACAGGACTGGCCACACCTTGGGGGGGGGGGGGTCTGGTTATCCCTCCAGGCCTTGACAAGAGTCACTCACCTATTTAGCAACAACTTGGGCCAAGAGAACAGTAAAGATTATTTTCTTTTAGATTGAAGAACAAGGAGCCAATTTACCTGGTTCTCTAGAAGTCTCTGGAAAATGAACACATCCCTAGCTGCTATCCAAAAGGCTATACACACATGACAATTTTATCAATTATTCCTGACTTAGAGGCAGGGTGAGATCAAGGAAGGTCAAGGAAGAAGTGGAAGCCAGAGAGATCTTTCCACTTTGCAGAGGGAGAAACATAGGCCAGAGGGAAGCAGTATGGAAAGCTCCATAATTAGTATGGAGACTGAACCCGGGAGTCCTGATTCCCAGTTCGACACCATCACCTCCTCAGTTTTCAACCTACATGCATGGGATGCTGTGCTATTTCTGCCCCCTGGTCCTGGGAGATAGTCATTTTTTCTGCCCATCTCCTGACCCCTCCCCTTCTCCTCCCTCTTGGCATTTGGCAGACCCAGGCAGCTATTCCAGGAACTGGAAGCCAAGCACAACAGGTGCTCAGGAGGTCATCATGATCAGCCTGGACCCCAGGCCTTCCCCTGGCTTGGCCCGGTGGGCCGAGAGCTATGAGGCCAAGTGTGAGCGCCGGCAAGAGACCCGTGAAAGCCGCCGTTGCCGCCCCAATGTGACCACTTGCCGCCAGGTGGGGAAGGCGCTGAGGACCCAGCAGAGAGAGCAGCTCCAGAGAGCACGACAACAGGAGTTCTTCAGGAGGAGGAACCTGCAGGTGGAGGAGAAAGGCAAGACACAGAGTCCCAGGGCCAAGGAGCACGGTCCCTCGAGGAGGCCAGGCCAGCCAACTGACCTCAAGGAGCCCTTTTCTTGGGCCAGCAGGATCTCCTCCTCCCCCCGGCAGCAGGTGGGTCATGTCAAGGGACACACTGCTCTGGATGGTGGCAGGCACGTGGGTGGGCTCAAGGTCACTAAAAAGCGATTGAAATTAAGTTCCTTCTTCCCTAATCATATAGCAGTCCCCCTTAGCCACTTACTCATTCGGAGACTTTTATTGTTTGGGTCTTTGTTTGCTTAGGTATTTTTTTGTTTTGCATTTGCCTTTTAGGGAAGAAAAAATAATTTAGAAAGTAAGTCCATTGCTAATTCCTAGTTATCAGTTCAAATTTAGGCAATCTATACATATCTTTTACAGCATTCATTCATCCAGCATTCCACAAATATATACTGTATATGCTTACTGTATGCCAGGGACACAGGCCCATCTTCTTGATGCCACCTCTCAGAAACACACACACACACACACACACACACACACACACACACACACACCTCCTGTTGCACCCACCTACATTTTCTCTTTCACTTGGACCATTCCATTTGTACTAAATTCACTCAGTAAAGGTCTTGCGTGGTCCAGTAAGCTTTCTCTGGCTTCTCCAGGCCACCTCTGCTCTCTGCGGTCCTTATGAGGTTATAAATCCTCTAAGATTGTGTAATAATACTTAGAGCACCCATCATTCTGGCCTGGGAAGGAGCAGTGCTGGCAAAAATCAGGGTGTGCCGAGATGATCTCAGCCAGCAAACCATCTGTGTCTTCCTATCCATGTTCTGAGCATGTTGACAACATGGATGGGTCCATCGTATTCCCTGGAAGTGCCTGGCCTGGTTCCGTACCCAGAGTAGAAGTTCATTCAGAGCTTCTTAACCAGTGGATCTGTTAACCACAATAGAAGGTGCTGTTCACAAAAATGATCCTTGAGCTCAATTGTAAAATAAAACCAACTGTGTACTTTCTAAGGCAAGAGGTTTCTGAAAGCTTTTTGTTTAAAAAAAATTTTTTTAAGGAGAAAAAGAACGAAAACACATTTAACTAAAAAACTTTACCTATGCCTATCGGTTGTTTAAGGTTTTACTGAGATTGAGTCAGTCTGCATGGTTGGATACTATAGGCATTTCTTAGCCTTTTAGTGTTCTGTTACAATCCTAGAATTTTTGAGTTTGCATAAAGAAAATACAAAAAGAGCAGACTAGAGGGGCATCTGGGTAGCTTAGTCAGTTAAGTGTCCGACTTCAGCTCAGGTCATGGTCTCATGGTTCATGAGATCAAGCCCCACATCAGGCTCCACACTGACAGTGCAGAGCCTGCTTGGGATTCTCTCTCTCTCTACCTCTCTCTGCCCCTCCCCCGCTCATGCTTTCTCTCTCTCTCAAAAATAAATAAATATACTTAAAAAGAAAAAAAAGAGCAGACTAGATTGTGATGGCTACTACGACACTCTTCCCCATACCTCCCTGCTCTAACGTCTCTTCACACAAAACCTCAGTGGTATTCCGGCTACTACTGAGAGGAAGGAAGCCACCTCTCCAATATGGAAAGGGCCTGGGAGATCATCCACATTACACACACTCATACACAAACAGGAGACCAAGACCTAGTAGAAAAGGCAGGATCTAGCCCAGACCCCCTCACTCTAAGACCAGTCCTCTTTCCACATCACCATACTGGCAGTGTAAATGGCTAAAACCAAACAAGGTAGATCAGGGATTCTAGAGAAAGTAAGTAGAGACAAGCCCAGCTCCCCATTTGCCTGGTCTGTGGAGAACCATACCCACCAACCAGGACAAGAGAGGGCAGGAGCAGGGACAACTTTGTAGTTTTGAAGGTTGGAATGGGCTACTTTGGCTTTCTGGATCTGAAACTTGATCACTGGTTCATCTTTCTGCAATCTGCTGGAGAATCACGCTGTAAGAAGCTCTAGGCTTCCAGCATCCCCTACTTGCTTTCCAGGTGTCAGGAACCAGCTCTGACGCCTTTCCAACCCAGCGTCACCCTTCCTCAAGCACCCAGAGGGATCTGGCTCACCTCTCCTCCCAGGCTGGGGGCCTTTCACCACAGGACTCTCCCATCAAGAAGCCACCCACACACCACCGTGGTAAGAGCTGAGCCTCCCTCCCTCACTGGAGCCTGAAGAAAACCTTGCCACAGCAGGCTCAGCTTGCTGGCAGTGGAGAGGCCTCTCCCTTCCCACTTCCTCCTCCATGGGTTCTGAATCACCTTATCCTCCGTTGCTCAGGCACTCAGACAAA